AGATAGGAGAGAGATCGGAGATGGAATTAAAGCTGGTCTGGCGATCGGCTCTTGATAAGCTGAGCACAACTGGTAATGCGTGCATTGACCGCCGCAGCCCTGAAGCTGGAGCTGGATCTGGAGCTGAATTCGAAGCTGGAGCTAGAGCACAGCTGACGTAAGTTAAAATTAAATTTGAGGTAAGAGCGAAGCATATTGGCCCGTTTGACTGGGCAGTGAGTACAGTTAACCTCGTTTAAGTGCGCCACGCACAGCCTGATGGGCAGCCAGACAGGGGACGGGAAGCTGGCGGGACAAGCCGAACGGGCGTGCCAGTGTAAGTCCAATTAACAGTACCCCAGAGTGCCCAGAGACGTCGCTCTAACTATGTGTCGTGCCTGTCGCTTCCCATCCTGAAGGAAGTCACAGTTGACTTGGACGGCATTTGTCGCATGCTCCTGCTTATAGCTCTTATAACTGGTTCTGGCGACCGACAGACCGACCGAGCAAGCACAACCAACTAACCAGCCACTCAACTAACCAGGCAACGCAACGCAACGCAACGCAAACCAAAGCAAACCAAACCAAACCAAGCAACACCTAAGCTTAGAACCGGCAAGCCGGCATATACAAGTTTATAGCGGATGCGTAAACGCATTTGGCTCAAATGCCGTTAGGGCCTTTGACTAAATTGCATGGCCACGGACAGGGCCCATTCGCCTTCGGCTGCAGCTCATATGGCGACGGCGACTATGACTGTGGCATTTGCATGCGCAGCCAGAGACCAGCGCCAGGGAGCATTTCAAGTAACGAGATTTGCCATTGACTTGGGCGGCTTGAGCAATGTTAATGCATTACGAGAGCAAATGCCGCCCAGATCGCCAGCCCCATTTGACGTAATCAACACAATGGCCCGAAAATGTTGTTGGGTCATTGAATTCTTGGCTGCGTGGCTGCGTATCTTTGAATCTTAACGGTTTTCTTTTAGTGGCGCGAGATCAATGTACCTGCCTCTGCTTCTGTGGTTGAGCGTACGTTCTAGTATCATTCGAGCTGCTCTCATGCCCTTTTATGTACGAGCCCCATTGATTAAATAATCCCAGCAAAGTGACGAGCACAGAAGCTAACGCAAAAACTTCTAGCTGAAGCTCAAATACGCTTCCTGTCCGGAAAACACGATGAAAGTCGAAATAACCCGAAATGGGAGTCACGAAAAAAAATGGCGGGGATCGCGTCTAAGGTAAGTGCATGGATGATTTGTGGATGGAGAGACTTTTAAATTGATAGTTATTATTTGTATTAAATTGTATTATTATTCTTGTTATATTTTCCTTATTGAATTAATTAATAAACTATATTTAATGGACAAAAAACAATCGATTTAAATTAATCTGAAAATATCATTAGGTAAGTAGAAAGCTAAATTTGTTAGAGCCTGTCGTAATACACATAGATACGTGTATGCCCGTGTGACTCAAATCTGAGAAAGAGCATTACGCAATAATAAACGATGTAGAGACTACGTAATTGTTTTTTATGATCTACAGTGAAATGGCTACCGACTCATCTCTCATCTCTCTATTCACAGGCATTCATTTTGGACGCCTCTTCGTGTGTAGTTGAACCTTCCTGCTTCGGAATGATTGTATTGAATTGGGCCAAATTGTTTCAGCAGCGCTAAGAAGATAGAAATGTGTGTTTTCTGTTGTTGTTATTTTATATATATCTTTTATGTTTCTTGCCTCAAGCGACGATATGCAAGTTCATTGGGTTGTTGTTGTGATTGAGTTGTTGTTGAGCGGAATGCGAGATGAGAGCGCGAGAGCGCGAGAGGGTGTCTAAAAGGCTGCTTTAATTGTGATTTATGTAAAAAGAAAGTGAATGTTTGGCCAAGCCTATAACTTGGTAATTGTTTACTAATAAAAATAATAATAACTTAGAGATTTAATGTTTTCTGTTTTTCGATCCTTTGATATGCCCGATGATCTGGCAATTAAATGGTTGAAAAGCCAGCAGCTTAGTTCAAGCGTCTTCGATCGCTGTTCTATTTAAAGCTTCAATCACGATTTCCTTTGGCATCTGCTAATCCAAATCATCTTTTAGAGATCTGTTCTGTTCGGGCTGGCAGTTCCCCCCGTGGTGCCAACCATTGTATGCAAAAGGCTCAAAACGTGCGCTAAATATAAAATTTAATATTGCCGCTTTACATATGTGTGTTTACCACTCGTACTACTTTAAGCCAAATGAAGATGGTCTGCTGCTTCTGGTCTCGTCTGGTAGGGCCTGGCCTGGCCTGGTCGGTTCTGGCCATCAAGTTGGCCTAATGGGCGCATTTAGCTAAAAGCTCAAAAGTTCAAGTGCCTTTTGGTTTGGGGTTATTTGCAGATTTTTTTACGACTATTTTTTTGTATCTCAAAGATACAAGTTTATTTATGGGCAGCGCCAAGTTCACGATCCTCTAGCCGTAAAGTGCAAAAAGTGCATAAAATGCAACGAATGACATTGCAACACCCGGCCCAGGAAGCCGCATCAGCGTCAGAAACCGAATCACAGAATCACACAGCCACTAAAGATGCAGTTTATATGTGCATACTGTCTGTGTATATATGTGTGTATGTGTGTGTGTATGAATGTGTGTGTGGGTAAGTTGAATTTAATGTAGTTTGCCTGCTAAATGCAAACGCACAGCAGCCACCGTGGCCACCGTCGCAGCTGAATGCTAAAAGGGTTTTGGCTTGGATTCGTTTATTTTATTTACTTTTTTTGCATTTGTATTTTTTTATTTATTTATTTTTATTTTTTTGTTGTTGTTGCTGTTGTGCTGCCCCGCGTTGATGCGCCTCATTAGGAGTGGCTGGAAACCAGTTTGAGGGGCACAGATCCCAGACAATTGACAATTTAAACGAATTTCTTTCAAACACAGCACTGACATGGCCCAGGCACATATGACGAATAGTCACTCGCTGCTCCGCCGCCTGGGGCCGAAGTTTACGCATGAGAAATGCAGCTCAAGCCATTTGGCCACCACCACAGACGGGTGACTGGTGACTGCCGGCTGGTGGCTGGTGGCAGGAGGTTGGCGGAAGACGGAAAGCGGAAGGAGGCAAAAGGAAGGAGGCAGGAGAGCTCAGCTAGAGCAGACAACCGCCTGTATGAAGTGTCATTCATCTGCCCATAAACGCATTATTCAATATACTTGTGTACTGAGCTGGGGTTGGAGCTGCATCAGCCAGAAGACGCAGAGAGTTGGAGGACTGCCGCAGCTAGACAAACGAGTGATCGGCAGACGAACAACATCGGCGACGTCTGACTAAATGCCTCATACTGCGCTGGGGTCTTGGCTGCTGTTCCTGCCAGGCACTTGGCTAGTTGTCTGTCTGTCTGTCTGTCTGTCTGCCTGGCTGTCCGTTTGCCCGCTTAGTTTCAAGGTTAACAAGTCGCATTTGCAATTTGGGAGTAGCACTGCGGCCAGACGACCGACGACCCTTCGACTGCGAACCGCATCAATCGCTTTGGTGAGAATTAAATGTTTATGGCCTTAGTGTTCGCCCAGAACCAATTTAATGAGCGACCAATGCCTGATCCCCCAATCCGTGTAGACATGTACAGCAAAAAGCACTCTCCATCGAAGCAATTGATACCCTTGGCGAACACCAATCGATGGCAGCCATCCTTGTGTTAAAATGTTGCTGAAATTAAAGCTTAAACATTCAAAAACAATGTTGTGGGTTTTAACGAATAAAGGCACGACTCAACTTGAGCCCTGTAAAAGTTCTAGTGTACTTAATTAGTTTTATAAAGCATCTCCTTAAAAAGTAACCGACCCTAAAGCGAAGTCCTTCAATTTTTAACATCCGTGAGCGTATCGAATATCGCATGTCTATGCGATCTTCATGAATTCAAGTAATACAGGACTAAATGTTATTTTAATACGCTTATGACTGCGAGTGGGATTGGGATTGTAGATGAGAAAGTGCAAAAGCGCGACGGTGAGTGAGACGGAAGAATGGAAGGTGGAAGGGGAAGAAAAAGAGAACAAGCGATAGAGAGTGACACATTTCAGACAAATCAGCTATGACATCAAGGCCCAATTACAATTATGTGAATCGCAAAGAAGGGTGATTCTGCAGTGGTATCAAAATAATAATATTTTCAGACGACATAGTGTCAAAAGTGCGAATACCCGCTGTGGCAAAGGGCAGTAACAAGCGGTCGGCAATAATGCGAAGCTGATCTATTATTCACCAGATTGTAAAAATGTAAAAATCACGCTTTCGTGTTGTGTATAAATTGAATGCAATTTATAAATGTCCAAGCATTGAATTAAATCCCAGGCCGCCACACGGCCACGATGCTGGACCGGGCATCTCTTAGCAGTTGGTGATTTTTCAAAATAAACAACCTTGAGCCGCCGCGGAGAACAATTGCCAGAGCAACAACAACAGCAACAGGCACAATAGACAACAACAGCTGCAGCAGCAGCAGCAGCAAAGGATCCGCGGTTTCCCTTCAAGGCACTGGGAACGATGAAAAATTGCGCCAATTGAATTTGGCCAACGATTGTGCCCTGCCAGAAAGACGGAAGGGCGACGTTTGGGTGCAAATCTACTGGGCGGTCGCTTAGCCTTCAACGCATTTATCAATACCCAAGTGGCCACTGCGACTATGGTACCTGGGCCACAACCTAAGCCACTACCAATGCCAATGTCCAGCACAAGGCGTTGACAATACCAAGATGTATATATAAAACAATGCCGCCGCCGCCGCTTAAATTTAAATTGTAAACAGGGGAAATGTGATTGGACTTGACATAGTCAACTGCTGGGGTGCTCCAACTTTTCTAGACTCCAAAACATCTACAGATATCCAATTTTCTATTCTTATATAAATATCTTTATTTTAAATATATGTATATATATATGATTGAATATATTTCTTACTAATTTTGGTAACTAAAGATAATTCAAAGAACACGTTACCATTTACAACATATTATTCGGCACACCAAAACTCATTGGGAATACGCTAAGAATTAAGTGGTTGATTTATTGAAAATTGGCAATTCGTCAAGTTCTCTTTAAAGGTTTTTTAAATATTCTGTGGGTAACATTCGAACAAAATTTCCATTTGACTTAGAATAAGTTATACAATTTAGAAATTTGAAATTATCTACATAAAATCTGGCATATTCGATTTATTTCAATAGTTAAGATTATTAATAATATATGGCTTCAGAATGTATTTAATTGAATTGGAAAGGTTTTAAGGAAACTTCCTTTGAATTAAACCAAAACATTGAGACTAGTTAATGTGTTTAGCAATTAGGTGGGTTATTCATGTTGCTTTACATGAAATATTTAAAGAGTTGCACATTTGAAACAATAAGATTAACAAACATAAATAGTTGCTTTTGGAAAGACGATAACACAAAAAACAAAGAAATCAATTTAAGTACACTTAATAATACGACAAAAAAAAATTAAGCTAAACAAAAATCTGCTAATTATGCTAAATGACTACGTTAAGGGATGTGACTGACATTTTGCGGCTCAAGCTTTTTCGGCCACGGCGCGCAGTTCCTCCATCAATGATGGCACGGGCTCTTGCCGTGCCGAGGTTAACTCCAGACCGGCCAGCAGCTTATTGAGATCCAGCACATCCTTACGGCAAGCGGCTACGCCCTCGCTTAATTGGCACAAATTTGGCTGGCTACGTTGACTGCGATCAATTAGCTCCAGTATACAGCTGTTGCGCGGACGACCTGTCTCCTGTGCAGTTTGCTGAATGAGCTAAAGAAAATAATATTTTATTAAATATTCTTTACGCATTAAAAAAAAAGATATGGACTCGGTCTAAGTGGCAAAAGTTATATTTTCATTATTAAGACATAAAATAATAAACATACATTTTTGAACCATTTTTATTGTAATTAAGCGTTGTAATTAAGTGGATTGGCTCCCAACTTTGTTTGTGTTGCATTTATGTTTTATGCACATATAAATGTACGTTTCTGTATATATGTGTATGTATTTATGTGTATGGATGAAGATATCTAAATAGTGCTCGTTTATCAAATGCAGAACAAGTTAACTTTTCGCTGCGCTACAAATATTAAAATAAAGCATTCTTAAATGTCGTCCTCTTCGGTACTCACGAATTCAAGTTGGCCTTGCAGGTCTTTCCAATTCGACACTAAATTTAGTTTTACATTATTATAAATGTTTTATGAAATGCCGTTTATTTGTGTAAGTATGTCATTATAGTCTATTTCTATGTATGATTGTATGTAGCACATACAGTACGTGTGTATAAAGTACGTGATCTTAAAGATTTTTAATACAATTAACTCTGTTCATACCCTTTGCGTTCTCATTCTCTCTTTCTCTACTACACATTTTATTCTTATGTTTTTCTAAAACACTTAAAAACACTTTAAATATGTATTTATATATAAATAACAATATATGCCAAGGCTATTCAGATCTGGGGAAGAGTTACCTCCGAGTTTACATATATAGAAAATATTCGGCGCTTACCTTTTTGTAGTCATCAATCAGGTTGGCAACTTCATGCGCCGGCTCCAACGGCGCGGAATTCGCCGTCGATTTTCCTACATCTGAATCCTCGAAGCGAGCTCTTTCGGCGGCCAGCGTTTGCTCTAAAACCTTTGAGGGCAGTTAGTAAAATTGATTAGCTTAGAAATAACGAATACGAAATTACTTACTTTGATTCTGGACAGCGCTTGTTCGTATTTGCCACCGATTTTGGCTAGCCTCATTTTAAGGATAGGCAAATCCGTAGCAGCTTTTGCTGCGCGTAATTCTTGTCGCAGCATTTTCGTCAACTGCGGCCAGTTCTTGACATGGTGCAGTTTGCGACCCGTTTCCGTTTCTAGCACTTGCAGCAGGCTGCTGTGTTGTTTTCTAGAGGCGCATTCGCGCTCTTTTAGGAGCGCCTGCACTTGTGCCTGCAGTTGGCTTAGATTAGCCGCATCGACGGCTTGTGCCTGTTTAAGTTTATGCAGTTCGTTGCTGTTCTGGGTTTCATGTGCTCGACTCAGCATCTGCAAATGCTGCAGCTGCTCGTTTTGTTGCGCGAAGAGCTCATTGAGCTGCTGCAGCTCATCGGCTTTCTGCTGTAGCTGCAGTTCCATTTGTTGCTCCATTTGTTGTGTGGCCTGCAGCGCTTCGAGCAGCTGCCTCCAATCGGCCTCCATTTCATGGGTATTTCTAATTTTTTCATTTTGTTGTTGCAGCAGTTGCTGCAACAATGCAACTGTTTGTTGCTTTTGCTTCGTGACTGCTATTAGCTGCTGCTCCAGTGTCTCAATGCGCTGCTCCAACACGGGTTGAACAACCATCGTTTGGGTGCCCTCACTTACAGGCTGTTTGGTCTGGACCTGTTGCTGTTGCTGCTCTAACTTGGCCTTTGCGTCAATTAGCTGACTGAATTCCAGCTCATAAATCTGAAGCTGCTCTCGCAGTTTTTTTAGCTGCTGCTCCTGCTCATCGTTTTGGGCCTGCTGCACTTTCAGTTGCCGTTTGGTATGGTCACATTTAGCGCACGTCTCCGCGTATTGCTTTTGAAGTTGCTTAAGCTGTTGTTCTAAATGTTGCAGTGTTTGCTGCGAATCCTGCAACTGGCTGGTGATTACTGCTTTCTCCGTTGTCAGATCTTTAAGTTGGGCGTCCTTTAGCGCCTGCTCCAACTGTTGCGTCTCCAGCTGGAAATTCAATTGCTCCAGTTGCCGCTGCTGTTCCTCGTTCTGTGCCTGCAGCTTCGACATGAGCAACAATTCCGTTTGCAGCTCGAGAAGTGCGTGCTTTAGGCTGGCTATTTCGCTGGTCTTGGCAATAATTTCGCCATGAAATGCCATGCTGTAATTGTGCATGGCATCGATGCTGCACTCGCTGCTCAGCTTACTTTGATAGTACTGCTTCAAGTCCAAGAACTCACGCTCCTTCAGAGCAAGCAGCTGCTCTTGTGTTTGCAACGTTTCGTTGAGCTCTGCAATGACCTGGCGCAATTGCTCCCGCTCCGCAGTGACACTGCGTAGCGTGGTCGCCTTCACTTCAAGTTTATGTGCCAATTGTCGATGTTCATCGATCAGCTGTTTGCACTGTCGCGTCATGTGTTTGTTCTCCAACTCAACGCCGGCCATCAGCCGTTGCAATTGCAGCTGTTTGCTATCATTTTCTAGACTCAGACGCTCTATGTCGGCTAGTAGTTGTTTCTTTTGCTTGCGCAGCACTTCGGTCAGCTGACGTTGATCCATAAGCCTCGCCTGCTGTTGTTGCGCCTCAAACGAATCAAAAGTATCCGCCGTGCCGCTTTGCTGCGCAGTTGTTGACGTGGCTGGGCCCGCCGTAGTAGCTTCTACCGACAGACTACAGCTTTCGAGCGCGGCGCATTTTGCTTGTAGGCGCTGCGACTCCTGTTGTAGTTTCTGATTTTCTAGCATGTATTTTCGCTCCTGGGCATAGAGACGCTCTAGAGTTTCGAGGCGGTTGTGTTTTTGTGACTGCAGTTCTTGTTTATACCACTGCTCCGACTTGCTTAGGCGTTCCACTTCGCTGCGCGACTTGCGAAGCTCCTGTGAGACCAGAAACAACGATTCCTGTGCTTCGCGTGGCGGATGCTCATTCTGCTCCTGCACCTTATACTGTTGCCATGTCGTGGAATGATTTGTTGCATCTTCTACATCACTACTGCAGCTGAAAAGGCCAGAATCATCTGCCTGCGCTACGCCCCCTGAACTGTCAGAGTCCATGGCCTTGCTCGAGACCTGCAAACAGATTTAGTTAAAGTCGTATACACAAACATTACTAATGCTCACCAGCTGATCATGGGATGTGCCAAAATATTTTTGTAAAGCTTGGTTTATTAATGGTAAGCACACGAAGGAATCAACTACATTTTCGTAGCTGTAAACAAAAAAGACAACAATTTATCAATTTTTGCCAGCTGCGCAGCTGTTAATGCGGTACCAATGTGACCATGTTCGATTCACTTGAAAATGCGTTAAAAAAAATAAATACCATTGCTGCTCAAGGATGGACACTGTATTAAAATTGTTTTTGCAAAAAAAGTTACTCGTGGGGCTTACTGATTGTTATTCACTGATTATTACCAATACAAACAAAAAACACATTCAATTTATTTTTTGGGGCAATACTCCGTTATAGGAGTTTTCTTCTGCACCTAATTTTGCTAGCTAGTGTTTGATTTCTGGTATTGGTATTAAAAACATTCAAACCCTACGGCCACACTTGCTCGCGAAACCATCACAAATAAAAACTTATTGGTAATTTGCCAGTTTTTTAAAGCGCTACCATTTTAATCTCATTCCACAATTAGCAATTCGCGCTTAAGTATCAGTTCAAAAATAGTCAAAATGTGCACCTAGACTGCATTGAGCAGTTGGGCATAGTGCAATTACCATGTGTAAATAGGACTTAATTAGTGTAGTAGCAATTGCGTGTTACAAAAGGAAACCCCACAACAAAAACAAAAACAAATCGCAGCAGAAGAAACATGGCAAGCTCCAGCGGAGCAGCCAGCTGCAATGGTGAAGCCTTCATCATCTATTACGAGGGTAACGCTTTGCAGCTGCAATGGAAGGGCGTGCCGCCACTCACACGGTCGCCCGCATTGCGACTCTGCTCCATGGGCAGCAGCTGCAGCGTTGGAAACGAGGCAGTGGCCGGGGATTCAGTCCAACTTGATTCCAATTGGCTTCTGCTGCTGACGGCGGACCAATCGCTGTACTCTGCCAGGCTGATAGTGGCGCATAGTGTGCATACTTTGGAACTGACCCTGTTGCGCACGGACATCGTTGACGTGGATTTTTGTCGAGGCAGCCGGCAGCTGTTTGTGGTGCTTGCCAATGGAAGTGTGCAACGGCAACTAATAGCAGGTAGCTATCGCCCGAATGCTTGGCAAACACTTAGCTTTGATCCCCTCGAGCTGCACGATGAGGGCGTCTGCATGCGTCGCGTTTGCTGTTCCGAGCAGGGCGTGGTCTTTGTCAGTGTCAGGGGTGCCACATATGTACTAGGCAGTTGCGGAGAAGTGTTTAACGCTGAGCAGCCACGTCACATGCGCCTTTGCGAGGAGGGTAAACAGCTGTTGGATCTGGCCGCTGGGGATGAGCACTTCGTGCTGCTTATGGCACCGCATCAGTTGGCTGACGATGTGCTGCAGCTGCAGGAGCACATGCAAGAGGAACAGGGCTCACTGAAATCATTACATAGCGGCAGCTCGGAGCGCAGCTTTGCGGCCAACACTCGTCACTTACTCCATCAGGGTTATGCGCTGCTCCACACTCAACTTTTTACGTTTGGTGCCTCCAATGGTGGCCTCCTGGGCACTGGGGATCATATACGACGCGCGCATGTCGCACGGCTGGAAAAGCTCGATGGCATGGGTGTATGCAGTATTGCCGCCGGCAGGCAGCACAGTGTGGCACGGACACTGGACGGACGCCTCTATCACTGGGGCATTAACAATCGTGAGCAGCTGGGTGAGGAGCTCAGCTCACCCATGGAAATCTGCTTGGCAGAGCAGCTAACGTCGGAGCAGCACACAGCGCTTGAGGCCACCTGCGGCGATTACCGTACGTTGCTGCTAGATGCCGCCGGGCAGATACAGACACTGGCCCAATCCCAGTCCAGCACCTATGCACAGACTGTGCTGCATTTACAAATGGGAGCCGCTTGGCCGCGGCAGTTGCGCCTGCTTCACTGTGCTGGTGGATATACACTCCAGAATTGCCGTCAATTTCAACGGCAATATCACTACTTTCTCAGTCACCTGGAATCGCAGCTGCAGCTGCTGCTCAAGCAACGCCAGGCGGTGCAAACATTAATGATTTGGGAGTTGCCTGCACTGGCGCCACTGCTGCTCAACTGGGAACGAATTGTGTGCCTAGTGGCGGCCACATTGCATTCTCTCGAAGGCTTCTATCGTGCGGACTATGTGCAGCCGGCGGATATATTGTTTATATGCTACTATCGTGAGTATATCGAGCTGTTTGAGAACTACACGAGAGCCTATTGCGATGTTCTCTCCGTGAATGGCTTTGGCGAGGCGGTTGTCGCCATCTGCCTGCCGCCATTAAGCAATCACAATCCGCTGGCGGAGCTGGGCGAGGAGAGCTACTTAACACGCCTGTTCCAGCAGCCGTTTGGCATCTATCAGCTGTTCATGCAGTTTATGGAGATGCTGGTGAAGACCCAACCCGAATACGATGAGCATCGTGTCGCCTGGTCAGAGTTTGCGCGCATGAGCTGCATTAGCCAGGAACTGGCCGTCAATACCAAGGAGTTCTGGAGCAGCAAGGAATGTACGCCGCGCATTGCCCACCTCAGGCAACGTCAAAGACGTGTCATACTCACATCCAACCTGGTGCCGCTGAAACTGGCCACTACTGGCATCAGCATATCCAGCCCCAGCTTTATACTCTTCTCTGACTTTCTGTGCCAGCTAGGCAGCCATGGGCTGCACACGTTTCCACTGAACGCGTTGTGGGTGTCGTCGGAGGGCGAACTAGGACTGCGCATCGTCACGCCAGAAAAGAGTTTTAATTTGATAACCAGGAAGACTGAGTCACGCAAGGTTTGGCTTGATCAACTACAGTCGAGTATTGTGACAGCCTTGGGGCGCCCTTTGGGCAGTCCAGTGCCCAGTGTACGTTCCACCGCCTACGAATATAGTCGTGAGCATCCAAAATTTGCCAGGGTTAAGGCCTGTGGCACCTGGCGCAAAGGCCTGCTGCATGGCAACTGCTATTTGGAGTATCCCGATGGCAGTGTCTATTGCGGCGAGATGCACCACGGCGTCATCGAAGGTGAGTCTATTTTTATCCAAATTAAATTGCAAATACAATACACATTGAATATTTGCAGGCTACGGCAAAATGGTGATTCCCTCATCGGGTGTTTACGTAGGTAACTTCAAGGGCGGCCGATTTCATGGCTACGGCGTTTACGAGCTTAATGGCAGCGATGCCCACGACGGCGAGATTTATGAGGGCAACTTTTACGAGGGACTCTTTCACGGCCACGGCATGATGCGCAATAATCGCTACATCTATGTTGGCGAGTACGTGGCGAACACGCGCAATGGCTACGGCGTTTTGGAGGATCTTGTCAGCGGTGACAAATATATGGGCATGTTTGCGGACAACAAACGCTGTGGATCCGGCAGCTGCATCACAAATCGTGGTGACTACTTTGAGGGCAATTTTGCGGCCGACGATCTCTGTGGCACCGGTGTCGCTGTCTTCGAAAATGATTACTACTACGAGGGTGAGCTAACGCTCCAGGGACCAAATGGCCGGGGCGAATACTATATGCCCAGCGGCGATGCTGGCAATGCGTTGGGCGCTAGTGAGGAAGACGATGACAATTATGAGCTAATTGGCAACAAAATGTTTGGCCATCTCAGTGGTAGCTGGGAGACGGTGCGCATACAAACTGGAGAGTTGGCGCTTAATCGACGCTTTCCAAAGTTTCCCAGGTAAATAAGTCTATCACTGGGTGGAAATTCCCTAGTATCCTTATTTCAACGCTTCATTTAAGCACACTTGGACGCATGGTGGTGGACCACAATCGCAAATGGCGCGCATTGTTTAACAACTTTGAGGCGGATTTAGCCAATTGCAGTGCCACGGCCAGCAGCAGCAGCGCCTTGGCTAGCGTTTTGGGTGGTACGCTCAAGAAACCTACAAAAACTACGCTGAGCACGGCACAAATGTGGAGCTGCATAGCCATTTATATGAACAAGCAGCGTTCTCGAGATGCCTCAAAGCCGGGCAACTATTTCAATAACATTCTACTCAGTCTCCCGTTGCCACCAAAGCCAGCTACGCAGCCTTTATTGAGCAGTACCCCGACATCTCAGGCTTCGCTGGTATCTGCTAAGCAGGCGTCCACACTGGACTTGAACAGCTCGACGCCGCGTCGCATTCACTCGCAAGAGACGTTATGCAGAAAACTAGACAGTCTACAGCGTTCGGATAGCTTGCTTTCCATTGGACATAACTCCACAATAGATACAAGAAGTTTGGTTAGCTTTGGTATTAACGAGAGTCTACTGGATCGCAGCTTTAATGGAGAGTCAGTGCCGACCAATCTGAGCAACAGCTTTGGCAGCGTGGCACACAATAACAATAACAACATATCCAAGCATAGGAACAATAGTAACAGCTCAATTACATCGACAACCTCCACGAACAGCACAATGCTGGAGCAGGTACCAAGCTTTGGCATGGCGTCCACCCTAAACGAACACGATGTGAGCTGCATCCGGCTGTACCTAGAGCAGGCCTTCAAGGATCGTTATCATCCGCTGTATGCGCTAAATGAGCGCATTGCCAATTGTTTCCATTACTCGTACGGATATTGGAAGGTGAAGCCCACGTCCATTTTGGCCAAACAGGCGATGCGAGAATGGGAATCTATATCCAGGCGTATGTATCGTTTTGTGCGTAAAATGTTTCCCGCCTTGCCCGAGGATTACTGCCATCTCGAGAGCACCAGGGAGGTGATCTCGCATATAACGCTTCTCTACCCATTGGTGCTATCCGAGGGCATTTACTCAACTCTATTTGTGCTCTATGCCAACAAATACAATCGCAAGGATGAAATCTACAGACAGAACTTAAACCATGCCGAGAAGTTAAACGATGAGGAACTGGTCCAGCTGCTTGGCCATGACAGGTAAACAAATGTATTAATAATGCTTATTCTCTGTTTACTTTTGCGGACTTGAGTGCAATATATATTTATGGGTTGGCTACGTGTACTACATTTAAGCGCTTAGTGATTTGAACTGATAGCTAAAGTTCAAAATAATTTGTGTGCTTGTTTAAATGTTCTACTTATCAGATTGTACGGACAATGTGTCTTAATGACCATACCTATATATAGCCAAAACAAGTCTTTCCCGCCGACATTTAACTGCTTTTCATTTAATTAATGTTGATCTGATTTGCAGTTGCCTCAACGCTGTGATGCTAGACACGCAATTCGAGGCGGCCGTACAGACCCTGAAGCAGCTGCAGGAGAAATTTAGTCCCCAGGATATGTTGACTGTGATACAGCGCAGCATGGAGTTGCTATCGGAGGCATATGGGCATGCCATGGCAAGTGAGTATAATTATGTAAGCTATCGGATTAGCGCTCTATTCATTTTATATTCTATTATATTGCAGCAAATGCCGCACAGCTCAATGCGGACAACATGATACCGCTCTCCATGCTGGGCATGCTGCGTGCCGCTGTGCCGCATTTGGGCGCTGAGCTAGCGTTGCTCGATGATCTGACGGGTGGGCCCAATTTTCAGGCCGAAATGAATGGAATGGCTGGCTATTGCTATACGACCCTGAAGGCTGCCTACGAGCATATAACAATTCGTACCCTTCAGCGGCTGCCCTGAACTCAAGCTCATACTAACCTTGTTACAATTGTTATGGCTTTTTATGCAATGATCAACGATCAATTTAAATGCTAATTTATGCTTATTGCCACGTGCACACCAAAGTAAGAAAATATTCGCGTAAACGTTATATACCCTGTATATATATAGAGAAAAAGAAGTGCAACTGTCCTCATAGGCATAGAATTAGGCTTGTTATTTAAATGTACAGTCGTCGAGGGATTTTTGCAGTGATCGTATTATATCGATCTGTTAATAATGTATGTACATGTAAATTTCTATAATACTACATATTAGATAACAATTTAAGATTAACACATTCCGAATCAATACATGATTTCTCGTAACAAGTAATTCAATTCATGTTTGTAATATCTGATTTCTGTCACTGGAACTTCAATTTATGCAATGATTATAGCCAAGAAAAACTATTGTGTTTATCGCTAATGAGTATATATATAAATGCCCTCCATATCATTGCAATATACACACTCCGTATCCTGTGGGAACAGGGACTCGGACAGGTGTTGCACAAAGTTAATTTTATCAAATTTGTAGATAAGATACTTTTCGGGGAATGTTGTCCCCGACGTATAGTTATAAACCAGTATGATTTGATCGCCATGATCGACAATCTTGCGTGAGGACAAATAGGCAAGGGCAAGGATTGATTTGCGAAAGGCATTGCGTCGATGGTTGACAAAGTAGGTGGTGCGAAATGGGAGCATGGTAACATTATGATACAGGGATACATAGTCCTCGGCGGAGCGCATGTGACTGACAAATAGAATTGGCGCTTTCGGGCGAAAGTGAGAAATCTTCTGCACCATACGCGTGGTAACGCCGCACACAACAATGGCTTTGGCATTCACCTCCATGGAGGCGGTAACAACGGCCCGTGCCAGGCCATCGGCACCCGTATGCGAACTGTCGCAGTGGGGCATTTTGGCCAGGGCCAAAGGCAGAATCTGATCAAAAATGGCGTTCTGCCAGAAGCTGAAGTAAAAGACCTGCCGGGACTGATGGCACTTGACCACAAATTTATCCGGATAAAAGAATATATAGTAGTAGTGGGCGGGATCAACGCGCAGGCGCTGCTCATTTATGGGCCAGGCATCAAGTAAGATGGGCTTTTTGGCGTTACGTGCCACCTGCAGAAGACATTCTGCATTGGGACACATACGCATAATATCTGGCACTATGGCTGGATCCGCCAGCTCCACCAGCAGGCCATCGTAGCGCTCAGCGACCCAGTTCAGTTCACCATCGCAGCCCTCGATCTCGTTCAGCACGACACGGGCGTAGAGTCTGAGATGTTCGCACTGCAGCGATGCCATGACCTTCTCCAGATTATTTAGATACTGGACAGTGCCAGCAATATAGGATACCACCACATTGATACCCACCTCGCGGGCAAATGTTAAATCCTCCACTTCCTCGTACGATAAGCGATACTTGCTGCAGCGTGCCGGGAAGAGCACCGGCATAAAGGAACTCAGCGTGCCCCCACGGCAGACGCAACATTTGAGATGATCCTGGCGTACGGAGCGCACCATCAACTGTATATCCTCCCCGATGAGGATGATATCAAACTGACGAACATCGGCGAGCAGAAAACGGGCATTCACATAAATCAGATCCCCTCTACAGTGCAGGGAATAATTGCGATCGGCAGTCAGAATAGTTTTGTATCCCCTTTTCAGTTCGTAGGTGTCGCAGTCATCCATATCCAAATAGCCGGTGTATTGTTGACGCGGCGACAACTTGGCTATGATGGTGGAGGCAACGGGAAAACCAAACTCCTTCGACACAGCTATCTCAGCTTCACGCAGCTGCACAATTATATCCTGATTTTCGCGGAGCGGTCCACGAAAAAGATCGACTATAAAGCAGCGTACGCCGGAGTCTATAAGTTGTATAATTAAATTGTTAAATCCTTAGCTGTGGGCCACTATCCAATACACTCACGCAAATAAGTATACAGATGCTCATCGCATTTCCCGCAACCCAGCTCAATGCACTTGCAGTTCTCATTGGTATTGAGGGTCTCCGGTACGCTGAGTATCTGGTAGCCAGCAAAAAAATTTCCCCAACGCTCTTCATCAAAGGGCATTTGGCATACATCCTCGCTCATGCTCTCGAACATTTGCAAATCGTCACTGTAGCTATCGACGCCCGGCACATAAGACATTATTTTCAGGCTGTGAACTGATGTCAGCCGCTTCATGTCCTCGGGATTCTTATGAAGACTGCCATCATCATCCTGGCCGATCAGATCTATGAATGCCTTGCGCCGCTGCAAGGAAGATAACAGCTCCTTAGCTCTGAGCACCTTATCCACATCGACCGCGACCACTTTGAGTCGCTGGCAAATATTTTCAATGACATCTGTCTTCTGCTTGATGCTCAGCTCGTTATCTTTGGATGTTTCTGATATCTCATGCAAGTCTGCCTTCAATTCGTCCATATTGATTTAAGCAAATTGGCCAAAAGCAAATACAATAAAAAACTACAGCTGCTAATAAAGCTCATATATATGATCACAACTGGATGTAAGGCACATACTATTACATATAATATATACTTGAGAATGTAGTTTTGACCAAATATTCAATGCAAAAAAATATTTATTTCAAAATGAAAATAGTTTTGAATATATATGACAGCAAATGTGTCGGTCTTAAGTTTCGATTCCTGAAGCTGGTTTCGGTCTTTGATTCTTTACATTTTTGCTGCAGTTTTCAATAAAACTATTTAAATTATTAATAATCTAAAAAATACTTTTGCATACTTTTAAGCCCTGAGTGATTGAAAATGGGTACGAAAGGGTCTAACAATTGTGTGCAAATAATATATGCATCAGTCAGAAGGCAAAAGCTCCGACCCCATAGATTCTTTATATTCCTGCCCAGTCATTTCCGCCTGTCTGCTTGTTCGGCTGAGAGACTAAAAAGCATAAAACACTTAACATAGGTCGCTCCAGATCGAGTTTATATCAAATGATCGATCCATTTTCTCCAAATCGATAAGAATCGATATTGAATCCGTTGTTTTTACCATGGATCGAGGCTTTTTATTCTTAGACTCTGTTAGTTTGGCTCTCGTTTTGTACAAAAAATATTTACATTTTTGTATACCAACTTTTGATCTCCTCAATTTTTTAAGAAACTCATTTTTTTTAGTGTAGTCTTAGGCTTCGGCATTTACACACATTCGGTTGCCATATAAATCGGAAAATAAACGTCAGGAAGAGACTATAATGTTTTTAACATACCTTATATATTACTCTATTGAAGAAAACCGCGTTTTGAAAAAAAAAAGTCGGCCTTAGGCTTGGTTCTTCCAGGTTCATGGTATATGCACAATTGGGTTCTAATAAATATTACTCATCAATTCACAAGAACTTACTGCAAATATTTAATATTGGTTTCGTTTGATTTTTTTTAATTTCCACCTTAAAAAGAAACCGCAGGTATAAGATTTTCTTTTTCTATCATTCTTTGTGTTAATTTGTTTATTTCCGTAATTTATTTGTATGCTATGTGAAGCGAGATGTTAAATTTAGCAACGCGTCAAGTGAAATGTTTACAATGTGAGAGAAAGTTAAATGGAAGCTGGCAGTGCGGATAACTGAGCATTTTCCGATTTTCCAGCGGCAGCAGCAGCGCACTTGAGCAGCAGCAGCAGCAGCAGCAGAGTCAGCGGCAAACCCGCAGCAGTAGCCAGTATCATCCGCCGCCTCGAAAACATAAACATACGGAATGTTTAGAGAATAAAAATTCATATTCCAGGCGAACATTTTTCAGTTTTTAAGTTTTTTTTCTTTTCTTCTTGTTTTTCCCTGTTGATCTGTTCGTTGGACTGTTTTTGCTGTTGTTGTTTATTTTTGCTGAGAACTGACAGATACACGGGCCGCTCTTGGGTGTGGCCAGTGCATGTTTAGTCTAAACAACGGCAAGAGAATTCTGTCTTCCTTTTGCTAACTAATCAGTCGAGTGCAGGCCGCTTGAACTTTGACGTGAACTGCAGCCGTCGGATGTGGCACTCTGGCTGGGAATGGGACTCCTCCCTAATAAGCTATTTTGTCCGTTTTTAGAAACAATTTCTATGCCACAAGACGGCAGCACTAGCTGCGGCGGCACCGGCAGCGGCAGCGGCAGCGGAAACATGTACGTGTGGGTGGAGATGATGTATAGAGGTGGGGTCATGTAGGGACGCGATCGGTATAGGGGGGTATGCTTCTGTGAGACCATGGGAGGCCAGCTGCTGAGCATCGAACATGAATTGCCGTGCTCGTGGATCGTTCGTGCACTTGAGTTCCGGGCCGCTCGCTCGCTGGTCGGTCCATTTGGGCCTCTCGCTCGCACCGCTCCCGAAAATGTTATCCATCTCTTACAGTACGTTTCGTTTCGTGTCGGCATTTCAATATTTTTATTTTTCTTAGTCGTTTTCTACTTTTTTGTTTTGTGAATAGAATTTTTCAACAATTTGGCTGTCCTAGAGTTTTCAAAATTTTGGAGCGTAGGTGCAGTGTGTCGCGACGCGTCAGCCTGTACGGATCGGTGCTCTATTTTGTATTTTGTCTAAACTCAAGAAGAAGAAAAAATAAGGAACATTCAAATATTGAACATCGCATAAAGACAAGGAGAAAAATTAACAGTTTGTTGCGTTGCGCTAATAACGTAATCCGAAAGTGTTTATAATGAATGCCAGGATATTTGGTAGGAAGTGTTTCTTTTGAACTGCGGAAGTGGGCGTTGTGCTTGTTGCCAAGTTGCCAAGTTGCCATATGCACATATATAGACACATATACATGCACATACGCCGACGCTCATACATTCATATATGTACACAATTTTCGGCTTTCCAATATTTTCACTCAACTCTGCTTTGCCTTTGGCTAAAAATATTTTCCGTTAAAAACGTTGAAATATCCAAAAAGAATAAAAAAAAAATATTAAAAAAAAAGAAATAAAAACATCCACTCGTCTCAGTGCTGCCGCCTGTTTTTCATAATTTTTCATCTTTATTTATTTATCGTATACATGAATTTTTGCTCTCAAACTTTTGCCAACGCGTTGCGTTTCTCATTTGATTTAGCATGTCGTCATTTTTGTTTACCCCCCCGCACACAAGTTCTCAACATTTTTACAATTTTCCCAATTTTCACAATTTTCACAATTTGCACAATTTTTCGCGGCCTTTGTCTTTGGCAGTGGAGCCGAAGGCATAGAGCTGCCTAATGAAACAAATCACAATTTAATAGGCACAGCGCGTACTTTACAACTTCCTTGACTATATATATCTACATATATAGATAGTACGTGAGATGCATATATATGAATATATATATATACATATGTGTGGCATGGAAAGACAGCTGTGTGCTCTTTGGCAGATGCTCTATGCTGCGTATGTGGGGGAAGTCCATAAAAAACAAAAAACAAAAAATAAAGAAACAAACCAGCGCACAGTTATAAAAATAAAACTATTTTTGTATGGCATGCTTAGAGCAGTCGATGATCAGAGTATTTCGTCTTTTTGCGAACAGGCAGCGCAGAGTCTCTTGGCACAGTTTTCCAGCCTCCCCGGCCCATGCATAAATCAATCATGGCAAATTCAATTAATTCAATTCAAATACGAAATTAAAGCTTTTTTCTAATCTAACAACCCAACGCAATGTGTCTTGGCAGGGTCTATATCAAAAAGTATACTTAAGTTGATTGTATGGCATAATAATCTATCTTTGATCTATAAAGTTCTAGTCGATTTGTCTTTTTCCGCTTACTGGCGTTTTATTGAGCAACGACAGGAAAGGGAAAAAGGCGTATTTACTATGAATTTGTTCAACCAATCTGTTTAAATATCTATTCAAAGAAAAGAAAAGAAAAGCTAATCATACAAAGAGAGAACAACTGGTGAGTAGCCCTTTGTAAATATTGTCTCAAGTGCATCCCTTAAATAGTTGTATGCAAATGTTTTGTAACCCGCTAATCAAAGCAGACATGTTAAACGACGCATGTCGACAATTTTACGCCCAATCTAATGATTCATTAAAATAATGAATACCTTAATCTCCGCCCTGAAAAAGCACTTTATGCATTCGTTTTGTAAGGACAACATACTTGAGCAGCATTTTAAGCATAATCAATCATTATAATTTCATATATATATATATAGATTTTTCATTAAAGCTTTTCATCTATAGATACAGACATATGTGTCTATTAAAGTATTATTTAGATTCTTTTTATAACATTTAACAATTTTGAATTTTGGTTTTAGCTCTGCCTTATTGACTATTCATAATTCAGTTTACAAGCATGCACAGCAATCGATTGATATATTGAATTTGAATGTTTAAAACAAATGTGGGGAATACTTGCCTTCGAATTATTACCACATGTTTGAAATAATTCTTAAAATAAACCAATTGAAAATCTGGAACAATACAGTTTCTATTAATATGAATAAATTGTTTCATGTCTGTGACTAACTCCCAAATTTAATAAATCAACTTGAGTATAACTAATTGCACATTAAATACTTCAGGTTCAAATAAACAAGATTAAAAACCTGTAAATTACAAATTTCCGAAAATATTAAAAAATACAGCCGATCAATACTGCCATAAAGCTAATATATATGCATATATATTAATAAATTAAAACACACTTATATCTAAGTAATATTTCCAGTTACCGTATACATTATATATTGAAGGCTATGCTCATTGAAATCGCTGCATATGTATATAGTATGTCTATATAAATATATGGATATATATACATATATGTATATATATGTATATATTTAGTAACATACCACCCCCAATCTGAGGCGCTGATATTTTTGTAGCATTTCTAATGAAATGAAATTAAATGTATAATTTATTGTTGCATAAACAAAAGGCACGAAACCGAATCGAAAATCGAACCAAACGCAACCGAAGCGCATGTGGCACCTTTAAGTATTTCGATTTGTACTCGGCCCCCAGACCCCGCTCTCACCTCGAATATCGCCCTGGTCTGGCCTGGTCTATGTGGAACACATTGTATTTTGCAGGGGCTGGAAAATTTAGTGCTCCCGCACGAGCTGAGCCAAAAATAACAATCGGGCAGCGAGGGCGCAAATGTTGGAGAATGTGTGGGAGGGGGGGTTGGTGGAGGAGGTGAAGCGGTGCAAAGAAGCACAGATTTGTTTATAGTTTTCGTATAAACAATTGGCAATTGAGAAATCGCTTGTTCGAGAAAAATCAAAACAGTTTTTGCTGAAAAATGACCAAGATGGTTGCGAAATTCGTAAGCATTCAATATTTCCAATTCCACTGCGGTTTCTATAAAAAAAAAAGTTCAAAAACTAAAAAGAAAAAAAAAACACATTGAAAAGCTAAAAATAATAAAAACGTTGAGGAAACAATGCATGCAGAAATATCGGCGAACCGCATCATACCATAATCATATAATCATGCTGAATAATGAATGCAAACTGAAGCGCAACTGGGTTGGCGTTAAGAGCAAAGTAAACAAGTGCATAAGGAATGCGAGAACGATCTGAATGTGAATAGCCAGGAACACTCATGAATACTCGGGTACTTATGGGCTCTGTGTATGTATGTATCTGGCCGGATGATCTGAAATTGAATGCCAGAAATTGTAGGGCGTATGCAAGCAGCTAATTGATCTGAAATTAATTCTTAGAACGAGTTTCAGCTTACAAACATTTTGCGACTTAATGTATGTCACAAGCGAAAACCGGTAAGGATGATGACCAGAAATAATAATTTGGGGTTTTTTTTTGGATTTTGGTTGGTCTGGCCTTTAAAAGGCGACTCCTCGGCTGCAGAGGCTCAAACCGTAGAGAGCAGCGGCACAAACAGCAACAGCATGTTGAAGATTGTAAGTAGCCGCAAGTGTTCCATTGTCCTGGTTGCGTCCACTAATGCGTCCACTTCTTATGGTACAGTTACTTAGCATTTTTGGCCTGTGTCTGGTTGGCGCTTTGGCCGCGCCCGCCGATGGCGTCCAAACAAGCACAAAGGTTCCGCCAGTGGCTATTGTGGATTCTGGTCAGGAGAAGCATGAGGATGGCTCGTATCATTTCTTTTACCAGGGCGAGGATGGCACGCATCGCGACGAGACGGCCGTGGTGCAGAATGCAGGCACTGATGATGCGTTCCTCGAGGTGAGCGGCACCTATTCGTATTTCGATGCCGACGGCAAGGAGGTGGTGGTGAACTACAAGGCCGATAATCACGGTTTTGTGCCCGAGGGAGGCAACATATTGCCACAGATATCGCTGGCCGCCAAGCTGGCCAGTGAGCAGAAGCAGCCTCTTCCCGATGCGGACTTTAAAAAGACGCCGAAATACGAATAAAATGTGATCAAACGTTGAAAAGACAATCTTGTGAGTTTTTATATTAGTTTTTATACCTACAAACCATTGAAAATGGTTACATTGGGTAAATTGGTTCCATGCAAATCGAGGAAGAAGGCTTCTTCCATTCTCTTGCTCAGCATCAACAGCCGAGTTGATCTAGCCATATCCGTATGTTTGTCCGTCCGTTTCTCCGACAGGTAGAACTAGAGACTTTTGATTTTAGAGATAAGTCGACTTAGAGCGCGAAAAGATTGAGTTTATTTCTTCTGTTCTCTGAGCTAAATACTCCAAACATATATTTCACTTCATAGATACTTTCCACTTTCCCTCAAAATGGAGGAATATTTTACCTCCATTTTTGGAGACATATTTTTGGGCTTTGGTATCCGCATAAATTTGGATATCATATTTATGCCCTGAAAATTTCATAAAGATCGCACAATAAAAGCCGAAGTTAATCAAGACTGCATTCCTCATAGTATGGGACTAAGGAAAGAAGAAGCACTGCGGCGACGTCAACTGCACATCAAGCAGCAGGATTCGGTGTGTTTTTGAATGTGTGTTTAATGTATAAAAAGAAGCAAAAGGTTGGTAGAGGCAGCTCGTCGCTCAGTTCAGGGTATATACATATATTGTTTTAGGTTTTATTTTTCATTTAATGCAGAAACAATTTCAACTAACTACAGGTTTGCTACTGGACGCTATAAGCTGTACCACGTTAACTAGCATTTAAATTAACAGTGCGCTGAACAAGTTGAGGGTACAAAATACAACTACAAGTATTAGGTTAGATAGGTCTAGGCATAAGGGGCGTTATAATACATACGAGTACGAGAGCTCAAAGAGATTCGTTAAGAACAATGCAATAAATATGACATAAGCAGAACATATGCTGTGTATCTTAGTCTGGGTAAGGAGCGAGATGCAGCTACTTCTTGACAGGCGTCGCCGGCGGAGAGCGATAGACGTTGACCAATCCACCAGCATTCGGCTTGCGGCTCTTGAGTCGCTGCTGCAGCGTCTGGAGCAGGCCGGCCAGGACATCATGATTTGGTATCTTCTTGGCAAACAGCAGACGCTTCACTGAATCATCGTAGGTCAGCAGCGCGACCATATTCTGCAGCAGAAAGCACTGGCAATACTCCAAGAGATTGTTGGCATTGTAAACCTGAGAGAGAGAGAGGATCCGTTTTGGTCACCAGCTCCATGCGGTTGATAATAATAATAGGCACCCACCTTTGCATGTATGTACATGGCGACCACATTGTCCACATCGACCATCTCGGAGCAGCGCGCCTCTGTGTAGCGGAGCAGCGCCTCCAGCTGAAAGAAGCTGGCGGCAGCCATCAGTTCCAGCACATCGCCATGGGACACATCCAGAGCACTGCAGCCGCCGCTATATAGAAACTGCATGACCAGCTGGAAGATGTGATAGCGTATGTCATTGATCTGGACAGTGGGCGTGCTGCTGGCATCGCTGAGCTTGGCACTGAGCATGCTCTGGAAACGTGGCGAGGCCGTGACCAGCACTATCTTGTGGCCATAGAATATTTTACCCTCGACGCTGCAAGAAAACAAATATGTGAAAAGTGGACATTAAAGCTAATCCAGATAGCATGATAGGGATGCTGCCATACCGAAAGGTGACATCGCTTAGTTCCGGATTGTTGACAAACTTTGGATCGATGCGTGTGCCCTGGACTGGCTGCAGTGGGGGCTGCTCTTTCAGTGGATGCAGTGCCTCCCAGCCAAAGCATGTGGCGAATATGTCCGCCAGGAGCAGCGTGGTGCCCTCGTTCTTGTTGCGAAAGATGTTGAAGAGCAGGGGCAGGCACTCGCTAACAAACTGGGCGCTATAGTCATCGGGGCAGACCTGGAGAAAGTCCTGCAGCAGCTGATCAATGACCGCGTCCAGCCGCAACTCGTGAGCCGCCGACAGCGCATGCATCCAGCAGTGCAAGGTCCACGGCACGCCCAGCTTGCGCAACTCTATGGTTATGTCTGAAATGGAATAAAGAATATATTCTTAGCATTTGTCGAGCTGTTCGCCGTTGAATTTTCTTTTAGGATTTGCTGATCTCACCCAAGTGATTGTTCTCGGCGCTGTGGTACATGGCCTCCTGGAGTCGCTTGATCTGCGTCTTGTTCAGCAGCGGCAACAGATCCTCCCCAGCGACTGTGGCCGTGGCAGCGCCAGAGCCGCGCACGCCCACCACATCGCCCTCGGCGAGCATCTCCTCCAGCGAGAGCACATCCCGCGTGCCCGGCGACAGCGGATGCGTGAGCAGCTTGCGCAGGCACGCGCGATGCCCGTGCGCTGCCGCCACGGAGATGGCACAGAAGCAACCCTTCTGCGCGGCACCCGCAAAGCACAGTGTGTCCTTCTGCTGTGTGGACAGGAACGCATTGGCGCCATGCGCCAGTAGGAGTGCCACCATCTCCAGATTGCCTGTGCCCGCGGCCAATTGCAGCGGTGTCAATGTGCACTTCTCCTCGCTGCTGCGAGCGCCGCCCTCCACTTTGCCGCCACGTTCCAGCAGGATTCGCAGCGCCACATAGTTGGCACGGCTGGCGGCAAAACTGAGCGCCGTCCAGTGTTGTGTGTCCGGCTGTATGGCCGGATAGCCAGTGCTACCTGCCGCCGGCACCTCCACATTCGGATCACAGCCGGCATCGAGCAGGGCATGCAAAGCGACCTCATCATTCCGTATGCTGGCAATCATCAAAGCTGTCAACCCGGCGCTGTTCTGTGTATCATAGCGCGTGGTGGGCGGCAGCAGCTGAGCAGCTTGGGCTAGAAGCTCGGCGCGACCCGTCAGCAGCAGCTTGAAGGCGACACCAATGGTGGCACGCCTGCCCAGCTCCGAGGTGTCCTCGCCAATGCTGCTCACGGCCGGTGAACTGGAGCTGGAGCTGCCAGTGCCCGTGGCGCTGCTACCCGCGCTGCTGGCACTGCTAAAGTGCGTCTTCTTTGTGGGCAGCTCCTCATCATGGGCCACAGGACGTATGGGACAATCCACACCGGGCAGCAATAGACGCGCAGCCTGCAATAGGATTTAGATTATGTGTGTTCAGGACATGGAACACTAATTCAAAGCGTGCTTTAGCTTACCTGTAAAATGTCATCCTTATCAATCATCAGGCCGTTGCGGTGCTCAGCGTGCGCCGATGCCACTCGCAGCCATTCGGCCAGCGGTGGGAGCACCACGTAGGCGCGCTCATAGCACAGCTCCTGGACGTTTTGGGTGCCGCTGTTGGGTGGCGCCTGGCCGGCCGTTGAGCTTTGGGCAGCCAGCTCGGTGTGCTCCAGCTGGGAGCAGCGCATGAAATAAAACAATGCACTTAGCGCCGCATTGGAGAGGGCGGCCGCATGCTGGAACTCCTGCTGTGTGCGCAGCGCCTTTTCCTTCAGCTCGCGTATGCTGCCCACACAGGTGGCCAGCGAAAAGGTGCTCGCCCAGCGCGGCATGGCCAAAGCGCCGGAGGCAATGCGTCCGGCATTCAAATGTGCAAACGGCTGCAGCAAACCCCAAAAATCGCCCGAACTGGCAATGCTCTGATCCAGAGCCTGGGCTGTGGTGCCGCCGGCACCGCCGCCGCACTGCAGCATAATCTCCTCGAGCAGATTCTCAATACCAGCGCACAAATAGACGGCAGCATACTCGTGTATGAACTTGCCCAGCCGAGCATCGGTCATCCATCTGAAGAAGCTGCCCACCGACAGCTGTAGACCGGCGCGCGAGGATTTGCTTTGCTTGAGGGCGCTCTCGCCGGGCACCGCGAACATGGCGGCGGCACGCAGGCACGCCTTGGTGCAGGAGTCGGCCAGTGTGGAGCAGAGCACCACCTTGAAAGCGCCGGTCACCTCCTGCTTGGAGCACAAGCCCAACCCCGCCGAGAAACGTTGTATCTCCCGTGCGATGCGCACCAGAGCACGCTGCAGCAGATAACCTAGCCGGGAGATGACCTCGACGGACACATGCTCCGCCTGCTGCTTGCAGCGGCCATTCCGCAGCACACGCATTATGCACTGTTGGCTCCACGGCGGATGCTGCAGCTCCACGAGCCGATTGTGCGAGTCCACCCACACAAACTCATCCGCGCTGGTGCTGGTAATCACCGTCTCCAGCGATGAATAGCGTCCCAGTCGCCTGGCCGGCTCTGAGCTTTCCGAGCCGGCGCTCAGGCTGCTGTAGGTGCTGCTGCTTGTCTGGGAGCGCATGGTCAGCTGCTGTATGGCCAGCTTGATGTCCTCCAGGCCGCTGCCGCTCCAGGGCGCTTTGCCGGCTGGCATTATGCCACGATGGCGTCTCGAGCGTGTGCTGCGATTGGTAACACCAGCGGCCAGCCGATCCTCGGGCAGCGGTCCCAATGTCATGCCGCCCGCTGGCGACGAACTGTGCCCGCCCGTATCCGACATGCTAGCATGGCCCGAGCTGCGATTCTCATCCGAGGAACTGTGGCACTCCTGCACCCGCTGCAGCGCCCGAAACTGCTCGTGCTGATGCGTACGCGGCGCCTGCGTCGTTGTCGCCGTCGGTATGCCCAGCGTGGGTCGACTGGGAGAGCTTTGCAGGCTGCCGCTCAGCTGCGGCGGCTGAGACTTCACTGGCGTGCTTTGCACCGTGAGCCTAGCGGGTCCGGCCACCGCCCGCTGCGGCATTGCCGCCTTGGAGATGGGCGACGTCAGCTGCTGCTGCTGGGGCAAGGGGCTGGTTACCACTGGCAGCGCATTCGCTGTCATCTTATTCACGCTCACAGGCGCCTTGTTCGGCTGCTGCGCCAGCTCCTTGAAGACGCGCGGTGCTGGCGTAGCCATAGCCACCGCATGGCCACCACCGCCGGCTCCCACTTGTGGCGCACCATGTGCTGCAAGGGCTGGTTGCGCCTGTTGCTGTGCCTGCAGCTGCGGCTGCAGCGGCACCGGCACTGGCGGCAATCCCGTCACCTGTGCGGGCGCCTGCTGTCCAAAGGTTGGCGGCAAGTTTCCCGTGGGTCTGTTAAAAGATGAAAGACATTGACTCATATAGTATTTGTCAAACTGGACTTAATATATGTGAAAGATGTATAAGTACAGTGGAAACTATCCTAATGGACACTCCTAATATCAATACGAATTAGGCTTAACCTATTCTCCCTCTGTTAGGTGGACACTTCTTGACCGGACAACAACTGCCCGACTGCTATTCTGTCTGCCCAAGTCAGTTTTCATTGTATGTACCAGCTGCTGGCTCATATTACATTTATGCCCGTGGAAAAGTTTAATTTTGCCCGTATTACCTTAAACACCCCATTTCCACATGACAGAGAAAATTGTTCGAAAATAAGTTTGACGTCGATCTGTGGATATTGTATACCAAAAATCTAAAACATCTTCAATTATATTTCACAAAGACCTGATTTAAAGGCTGATCGGATTTTGAATTATTATGGCGGTAAAAAATTATAATAGTTTAGTAAAATAGTTTAGTTTAAGATATTCTAAGCAAAATTATTTGGGAAGAGTATTATGGAAATTTTGGAAAAGCGCAGCTTAGTATTCACTAAAAAACTTAAAAACCTTGCCTTGATTTAAGGTTTAGCTACTTGAGACGATAGAGACTATTCATTAGATCATGCTTTAGGAAACATAGATATTTTGGTCGATGATTGAGTATAATTATATCATATAATTTTTCTTTAAGATATTTCTAACAAATTTATTCTAAAAGAGTATGAAATTCAAAAAAAGTTTGCACGGAACAGAACAGAAGAGTTGAACTTTATTTAAATGTATCTTTGCTTGACCCATTTCTAAGCAGTAGCCCATCAGTTATGCAACTAATTAGAATACATCTGAATTTGTAGAATTTGTCAACCCAAAAGTAAACAAAGCAACGCCTAACGGTCGAGGCAGCTGCTGTCATATATGTTACATAGGTAGTATATCTGTCATATTACCGCTTATCTTTCACACTGTCTTGACAATCTACTTGGTCATCTTTGTATCTGTGTGAGGTTTGTGTGTATTTGAACGCAGAGCGCGATCTTGGGCTTGTGCTTGGGCTTGAGCTTGAGCTTGGGAGGTGGCACCTAATTAAAAGCAGAGTTACGATCCGGAGGCCGTTGCTGAGTTTGCGTCTTCTTCAGCGAAAACTTTGTCAAACGCTTTTTGCACTATAAAGAGCCGAATCGGGGGATCTGCGACTCACTGAAGCTGTTTGCTTGAATAAATACTTGTCCGTATTATATGATGATCTTCTTATTAGCCTGCTTAGGTATATTAAATATTTATAAATTGGATGCTAATCTGTATTTTTTGTGTATTAAATGTGTAGATAAAACGAATAATTCAATCGCACAAATGCGAGACTGAGGAGTGACTGAAAGGTTCTCAAGCATGTTAGAGTATGCCGAATTCTGTGTGCTAGCCAAGATACACATTAAAGTTTCCTTTTGTTTATGAAATTGGGTTGCCATTCGTTCTCACATTTCTGCACTGTCGTCGGCTCAGAACAACATCAACTAACTGGAAACAACAAAAAATTAAGAGCCAGCTACGACCATTCATTTGCATGGCGCAAAGATCCAAGTTAAATCGTTTGCTTTTATTATGATTTTTGATTTCATGCTGTAACATAAAACGTCGTTTCTATGTTTGATTGACCCAGAATTTAGCAGCGTTTCATTTTTTTTTTTTTAAAAGTGCCCATTGTTCTTTTGGATAGCAATGGACAATGTCTTGCGCTAAATACGATTTATGGCTTTTGGCAGTGTCTGACAATGCTTTGACATGAGCTTATTTAGCGAACTGTTTTCTACACAGAGACGATCAGTGACCTCTCGACAATATTCACGAAATCAGAACATCATATACATATATGTAATAAACTGAATATCTGTATAATAAACTGTATATCTGAATATCTGATTGTCTTGACTGACTGATTTTTGATCAACGCACAGCCCAAGCTGTAAGCTTTTCTTATTTTATCTTAGGTCATATCCATATGGTGTCTTAAACAATTTCACCCACAACTGTGGAAAATAGGTGGAAAAAGTCTTTAAAAAACTCTTTTTGTCCACCCTTCGATTCAATTACAAATTTATTTTCAAAGTTCTTTGTGAATATTCATTTGACAAGTGTCTCACACTTTTCGATAAATTCATTCAACTTGGTTAAGTATGGGTATCGATCTTTAGCTCAAAAACCCACAGAAATAAATTAAGAAAATCTTGCTCTAGCGAATTTGTAAGACCTACCTCAAAGGAAGAGGAATGCGCAGAAAATCAATTCGCTTCAAACTTATTTTAAGTATGAAAATGGATGTCAAAGGTTGCAAGAGCACAAGTTAAATTTTCGTCTGGAAAACCTTTATCTTTCTGCTCTACATAAAATATTTAGAATTTAAAATAAAGTAAAAATACGTGTTGCACCGATTTAGGGGTTAATTCCGTAAACTAATTAATGGACTACTCAAAGGGCTTCGATTTCTTTTTCATACATTTAGATTTTCGCTTTTACTCTCATATATATGTAATCAACTCCCTTTTCATGCAAATGTTGAACAAAAAAAGACTAAATCCAAATGTTTTCACTTGCTAGTCGGGGCTGGGCAAACCCTCACAGCCATGGCTTTCACAGCTCAAGAATATGGGAGCCCAGACAACAATTGATGCAAAAAACAACAACAGCAACAACAACAACAACAACAATAATAAAAATAGGCGAAAAATAATGGCAAATCATTTGAAGTGCTTTTCACTACCGTCTCGCAGCGCGTCGCCACTCCTGAACGTAGCTCCAATCGCATGAATCTGACTGACTCGCGGTCTCCGCATCGTGGCCAGGGCCAGAGACGCTGTCATCATCATCATCATCATCGTCGTCGTCGTCGTCGTCGTCGTCGTCATTATCATGATCAGCTGCAGTTAGTTTGCTGTTGGCAGCATCGGATTTCATTTGGCCAACAACGGCCAGAGTTGGCTTTGCCACCGTTTCCACCAGCGCACTGGCGCGCCGGTAATTGCCTTCAATTTTGATATTAATTACGCCATTCTGCACGCTCTCAATGTAGGGCGGCAGTTCATCATCAACGTTTGCCTCCGCCTTCGCCTCCGCCCTCGCGGCCGCCTCACCCGCCGCCTTCGACTGCGGCAGTTCCAACGCCTCCACCGCTTCCAACGCCATTTTCGGCTCCGTCTCCGGCTTGACTTTGTCATTGGCCTGCAGTTTGTGGGACATCTCCTGCAGCAGCTGTGAGTGGAGATTGGCTGCATCTGCGGGCAGTTTCGTAGCCAATGCTGCGGGTGGCTGCTGCTGCTGCTGCTGCTGCTGCTGCGGCGGCTGCTGAGCTCGATTCATGGAGTCACCAAAATAGATGACCACTTTGTGATTTGGTTTGACCTCGCGATCACCCAGATTTCCATTCCCATCACGATCCTCTGCCCGTCGGCGCTGTGTGGCCGCCCAGTCGGGCAGCTCCTCGATGGGCGTGGGCGATGGTGTCTGCGCTGGGCGTGGCACATCGCGCGGCTGCGACTGACACATTTCGCTATTGCGCAGCGATTGCGGCTGAAAGTTCTTCAGCGAAATGCCGCGTCGCCGCAGTATGAAATTCTCATTGAGCATGCGACCCAGCAGGGAGCCGGGAGGCGTTCCCTTCCCAGCCAGCTTCGACTTGGACTTGGCGGGCAGCTGTTGCTGCGGCGGCAGCACTACTGGCTTCTTGGCGCTCAGCTTATAGTCGCGTAGCTCGCGGCACAAACGGCAGGCGCAATCTTTGGTGCAGTACATCTCGAAGTTGGGTTGGCTTTGTATTAAAATGAAGTTTAAATTGAAAAAATTTTCGAAAAATTTCAAATTTATTTGCTGCGCGGCATTTGGTTAGGAGTTTTGCTTTGGTTTCATTTCACTTTGCACAGCAATTGCGATTCTGGCATACACAATTTAATACACCAAATAATAACAACAATTATGCAAATTATAAATTTTCATTGCTCTAGCGCCGTGCGCAGCGTTGCGTGGCCGACGACGTACGTATCCAAAGCTGTATTCGAATCCGAATCCGTGTCCCGACTCCGAATTTTCCAGCACTCGACTTTTGTGTTCTCGATAAACACGTTACCGTGCGCGTTCACACTTCAAGCTAGACTGAAGCTTGCCAACTGCCAGCCGGCGGTTCAAAGCCAGCGCGGCGGTTGTTGCTGCTGCTGCTGCTGCTGCCGCTGCCGCTGTCAACGCCAGCATCGCTGCCGAGTCATTGTCTAAGCGCGGCAACGTCTGTTTTTCCTGATTTTCACAGAGTGTAGCGTAGGCCTTTGGGGCCCATGCCACCTTGCAGGTCTTTGGCTTGGGTAATTTCAGCTGCCGTGAGTTGTTGTTTCTCAGCTGTGTGACCAAAACAATGGCACAACTGTAACATCCAACAGCCAGCGGCAGCAGCAGCAGCAGCAGCAGGCAGCAGCAGCAGGCAGCAGCAGCAGGCAGCAGCAGCGGCAGCCAGCAGTAACAGCAGGCGGAGATTTACTCCAGGGCAGAGCCCATCAGGTCTGCGTACTCGTATTAAAAGCGATATTGTGGCTTCCGAGTCACTGCGACTGCGATTGTCATTTACATACAACTCAAATATTTATGAAATACTCGTTGTACTAATAAAGTCACAGCAAGTGCGATTTAAATATATTATTATTATATATAATGCTGGTTTTGGCGACCTTTCCACTTTCTGAATCTTTATTTACCAGGCTCGAACTTCGCGGATACGTTAATTAAATTATTAATTAAAGGCAATAATAGAATTGAAAATCAAATATATAGATTAAAACATAATTGTTTTTCATTAATGTTTTTAATAAACTAAACCCTGGACCTCGAGTCAGCTAATTAAAGATTTATTATTATTATAGTTTATAAGAATCTCTCTCTATTTATATTTATATATATGTATTGCTAAGAATTTTGGGTAAGTCTCCGGGTTGCAAGAGAAAAATAAAATAAAATAAATATAACAATAAATAGCTTATAAAAGTTAAAGAGAATAGAGAAATATTTTTTTCTTCTATATAAAAATATCAATTAATTAATTAGTTTTTTAAATAACAGATATAAAAAATGCAAGCCAAACACTTCCTGAGTAATTCTTGTGTATATTCCCCATTTAATAATTATTTTAACAGGCTCTTTATAATCTTTGCCAAGTTACCAAGAATTGCTCATCTCTATTCGTAGGCTTTGTGAATTTAATTATGTACAACCGTTGAGGGGGAGCAGATGGGGGGGGGGGGGGAAGGTTAGAGAGATGTGGCCTGGGACGCACTCGAAGGTTATACAATCTTGACACTTATCAGATCGTTTTGCTAGCTTCCTTCCGCGCCGAGGCCCAAGATCACGTTTTGTGTTCTGAGCATGTGCAGACACGCGTTGGTTCTTCAAGATACATCTGCCAGATACATTTCATGTGTAGCGTAGATAAATTCGTTAGGCGTAACCTGCTTCTAATGATTTATACCAGCTCATCTTGTTGATATAACGGTCTTTTGAGGTTTTTATTGGACAGCGCTACCTACACGAACTTCTTTTGTGAGCTGTTCTTGAAGAATTACTGCGATCGCATCCTAGGGACTGCCGTCAAACCACAAAACGAGCTCCATCGCAATTAGAAAGTCATGACCGATCGCTGGTCATTTGGTCAAATGCCAGTCAGCGCATTCAAACCGAAAGAAAACACGCCCACGTAATGCGGAAAAGCGTCGGGAGGCGCAAATAGACTCCACTGTACTTACACCCGTACTGTTGGATTATACAATAATAACTTTCTTCATTTTTTCTGGCGTGCCTCTGTTTCTAGTCCAACCTGCTGGCGTTGTTAATTATTAAAAAATAAAAACAAAAACCAAATATATAAGCATTATGTTGCTCGAAGCAATTTGCGCATTAAAAAGTTTAATTTACGGAATTGTAATGACAGACTATAAATAAGTATGCTTACACCCATTAAGCACGCCAGACCCGAAAAAGCAAAAGTATGGCAGAGAGTTTAATGTAATATTTGCGTGTTTATTAAACAAAAAAAACTAAAATAGCTCAAGTAAGAATGCTCTAGTCGGGAGTAGTCGACTAGAAGCTACCCTGAACGCAGCAGCTGTTACAAAAAATGCATTCCTAACTAACATCGGTGCTTGGAGTCCGATCATTGTGAAATTCTCAGTGCAAAGCTTTACATTGTATTTAAAAATGATAGGTGAGGTATGCGTAAAGTGAAATTCTATTATTAATCTGTGTCTACTATACGAGAACCAACATACCAAGTAAATAAACCATGTAAGTATGGTTTTTTTTATCGATACAAATAAATTGGTAAGAGATCTGGAAAAGAAGGCGAACACGTTTCGCGTATGGTATAGAATCTATATCTAGATAAGAATATATATTTGAATTTTCCAATTTGAAGCGTTGGACATGGCTATATAGACTCAGCTCGTCTCCTGATGAGGAATAAATATACTCTCCTGCAGCCTGTTGCATACAGTTGGACGAACGATTATACCCTTTTGCCCATTTTCAATTTATTCAGGGTATAAAATGTTGAAAAACTGGCCAAAGGCGGCAACTGCAGCTCAAAGCAAAACCCCAAAAACCTATTAAGTGTGCCCGGCCCTTTGGGCTGCAGTTATATACGAAATATAAGAAACTATTCAAAATATGTGTGTCATTTTATAGTTAAGGCCAACTAATTAGAGTGCAGTCCGTTGCGCCAAAGGAACTTTCGTTTTTCATGCCGACATTTAAACAGGAAATTGTGTTTCGCTGACGTTTTAGATTGTAGATCATTAGAACTCGCACTCTGTTGGCCATTAATAACTTGGTTGCGGGCATCGTTAAGACGTAAGACTATTTTAAATGCTAATTATTGTTAAACTTCTGGCAAGGTTAGTTCATGTTTTAAGCTGAACTTCTGTCATATTTTAACCAATGCAAAATTTATAAGCACTTCAATTTTAAATCTAAATTTACAATCTGCCAATGTATTCGCTTTCAACACTTCGTTGACACACATTTGCTTTTCGACTAGTCATGTATGGGAACAGATAAACAGAAAACATTTCCAAATACTTTCTGGTATGTAGAAACGTCTGCCCAGACAAGATTGTTGTTCCAGCAACTTGATCAAGCGTGGAAAATAAAGGATATCCGTATGACTTCTGAATTGAGTTGCCTTTTCTTAGATAATCGCTACCATCGATTGTCGAATTAGGCGTATTTGCTGCATTGTGGCAAATATTTTGACAACAAATACTTTAATTAATCATTATCAGTAATGCCGACCATTGGTAATTCCGCACATGATTAGTCGAATGTACGTTTTTTTGTGTACAATTCCAAACAGGAAACGTAAAAGGGGTCAAAGACCAAAGAGTTTGATGTGCGTTGTGGATGTTTTGTTTATGCAGCTAATTGCAGTGGTTATATAAAGACTTTGTTTGGCTCTACCAAAGCAAGCAGGTCTTGTAGTATACGGCACTTGTTTTCATGCCCTTTTAAAGGGTATTATCATTTTGTCATGCGTTGTGTAACGACATCTCCCACTCCATAAGGTATCTATATGCTGGTTCATTAACAAAAGCCGAGACATAGTTGTCTGTTTAAGGTATTCGGCAAGAAATTTGCTTAGGTCCGGATTGGAGCACTATATCTTATAGATGCCATAAGAACACTCGGTTGAAGATTAAGTTTTTGTACTTCTTGCATGCGAATCTTTTGTTTTTCAAGCTATCTTAAACAACAATCAAAGATATCATAAACAATATATCTTTGAAACATCGGCGCACTTAATTGTATTGTTCTATGGAATGAATGGTTCAAAAACGGAAAACTTTAGTATATTTCAAGCTAACTTGTGCAAACTCAACAATTACGAGCTCGACTCATCATCTCCTCACCTGTCGGCAAATTCTGCCAGGGTATTTAATCTTCGGCTTGCAGCTGCCAACCGATGTTTCTTGTTTTCTTTTATCATTATCTGTGCCTCTTATGAAACACACCATTTTATGCATTAGTAGCTATAACCCAGCCCTATCATTACAACTGCTGACGCTTGTGGCACCTGATTTGAAGATTTTTAGATAAATATGCGCTGATTGTGCGGAGAGGGCGGTAACTGGATTTCCGCATTTGGCCGCCTTACATTAGCTACATTAACCAGCTGCAGATGCGGTCATTGGATGCGACTGGGTACGCTTCCGTGGGGCCCCAACCTTAAGTCCCATTTGGCCCCAACGACTTAATTAGTTGAGCGAGTGATGTTGCGACGTCTGTCATTCAGATATCAACGGCATGTGGCTAACTGGGCAACAGCTGACGGCAACTTGCGACTCCCACACTTTCGCGTCTAGTACTTATTTCATGTTATAATACCCTGTACACATCAAATCAAGAAAAATAGGTATGAAAAAGAAACTGAACTCAGCAGCAAAAAAGCGACTGTTCTCTTGCTTAAACAATCCGCATAAAAGCTGAAAGCGTAACAGATATATGGCTAGCTTACATGTAGGGTATCTTTTACTCTAGCAATTTCGATGAGAGCATGCCTACTTGTTTTTGTCTTTCTATCCAACGATTTAGTTTGTAGTGGTAGATACTCGCATTTTGACAAACACTAAAAGTATCTCACAGATACGTATGGGTAATGTGCCTTAGCTTTTATATATATATGGATGTGTGTGTGTGTGTGTGTGTGAAAGAAAGTGTTGGCACTGGGCACGGGCTTAGGCACGGACAAGGTAACAAAGGTAACAACATTTTCACTTGCCTCATGTCGTCGTCGCATTTTTAATGCTGCGCTGAAGATGCCTTAATAAAAAATGTAACAACTATGGGGGTTTAATGCCCTCGGCTCCAGGCCTAGGCCCAGGCCCAGACCCAGGCCCAGACCCCAGACGCCAGATACCGTGAGGCATGCCCATGCCTGTTCCATTGTCATTGGCGTAGATGTTGATGTTAACTTGCCTGCTATAGATACAGATACAATTTGTTGATGTTGTTGTTGTTGGTGGTGTTGTTGTTAGCTGGCGAATTGTGTGGCGAATTTTGTGTACATTTTTCCTATTTCAGTTCGTTTGCTGTGCATTATTATTGTTGTTTGCAGCTAATTATTCACATTTGGACATTTTCACTTTCATTTGTGTGAATTTCTACTGTCATTTGTTTGTTTGTTACACGTATTTCAAAACTTTTAATTGTTTGTCCATGCAAAAAGTTTCCAAAATGCCAGTCATATTTCGGCTTCCTGTGTAGATACATCTAATACACACACACACACACACAGGTACCTTCAAAGAGATTTGAAATCTGCAATTTTTGCGGCTTTGTTTGATTGAGAAATCGCGTATGAAAATTGAAATATCTTCAGCTTCAGTTGCAATGTAACTGAATTAGTTTTGTTCGAATGTCTCTCAACTTCAAATTGAAATATTCATCCTCAGCTTTCATAACTTTGATGTCAGCTAGTTTTGTTTAGTTTCATATATCAATTTTTGGCACACATCCGGCGACCGAATGATCTGCTGCTCTATGCGTCTGACAACGGCCAACTGCCGCATTAATTTTCCCCAAATTAACCTTGACCGGCTTCACAATGCCAC